CCCCCCCCCCCCCCCGTTCGCACCGCCGTCGCCCCGCCTCCCGCAGGTGGTCTGCCTCGCGCTCGACTTGCCCGAGAGGCAGCACGCTGGGACCGCCGAGCGGCGCGCGATCGCCGCGGCGGCGCACGCTTTCTTCGACCTCACCCGCCTCACCGACGCGGAGGCGGCGCGCGCGATCGACGGCTTGCGGCTGCACGTCCTCGTCAACCTCGTCGGCCACACCGCGGGGGCGCGGCACGCCCTCACGCACTACCGCCCCGCGCCGGTGCAGGCCTCGTACTACGGGTACGCCGGCACGACGGCGCTGCCGCAGATGCACTACGCGCTGCTCGACGCCGCGGCGGCGCCGCCGCCGCTCGCGGCGGCCGAGTTTACCGAGCGGATGGCCTACTTCCCCTTCTCCCACTTTGTGGCGGCGCACGCGCGCCGCTATGCGCACGCGCCCCACGCCTCCCGCCTCGCCCACCCGTGGCCGGCCGGCGAGTGGCCGGCCGGCGAGGAGGAGCGCGCCACGTGGTCGCCCGCGCTGCGGCGTGTGGACTCGAGCGACGGGGGCCCGCCCCTGCGGCGAGAGGACCTCGGGCTCGGCCTCTCTCCGCGCCGGCTGCGCGGCGTCGCCCTCTGCAACTTCAACCAGCTGTACAAGCTCGACCCCGACTCGTTCGGCGCGTGGGCAAACGCGCTGCGCCGCCTCCCCGAGGCGTCGCCGTGGCTCTCTCTCCGTTGTTAGTTCCTCGGTGCTGATTCCCATTTCTTCTCCCCGAGGCGTCGCTGTGGCTCTCGCGCGTCTCGGTGCGGCGCGGCTGGGCGGAGCATGCGGAGCAGAGCCTGCGCGCGCAGGCGGCGGCACACGGCGTGACCGGCCGGCTTGGCTTCGTCCCAAAGCTGCCCGAGGCCGACTTTATCCCCGCGCGCTCGCTGGCCGATCTGATGGTGGACAACCGCTGGTACAACGCGCACACCACCGGCGCCGACTCGCTGTGGGCGGGCGTGCCCGCCGTGGCGCTGCAGGGGCGCGGCCTCGCCAGCCGAGCGTCGGGCTCCTTCCTCGCCGCGCTCGGCCTCGGCTACACCGTGGCTCCGAGCTGGAAGGCGTACGAGGACCTGATCTGCAGCCTCGCTTCGACCCCTGAGCGGCTGCAGCTGCTCCGGCGGCGGCTGCTCGACGCGCGGAGCGACGCGCCCTTCTTTGACCTCGAGGGACTCGCGCGCGCGCAGGAGCGGCTCGTGCACGGCATGTGGAGGGCACACGAGGCGTCGCCGGCCTCCGGCCCGAAGATGCACATCATCGCCGCGCGGGCAAGGACGTGAAGGCTCGTGTCTGATTGTACGTTCTCCTCTCATTGACAGTCTGTGGCACTCTTTCTACTTTCAGTGCACAGTGGTCGTCACACAGTGCTTTATGTGTGTTATGAAGGAATAAGAAAAATCCCCGCCGGCAGTGGCGAGTGGGGGCTGGGGGCGGCCCCAGTGGGGCACTTGGACGTTGGAGCCGCGACATTCAGCCGTCGCGCCGCAGAGGCCTCTGCGACTGCGATCTGCGTTCAGGTGTCAGGCTCAGGGGGTCGAGATCGAGCTGAGCAAGATCATCCAGTGACGCGACAGCTGAATCGCAAGCGTTGAGGAACGCGACACAGATTTTAGGTGAAGAACAGTCAGGCTCGGACTGGACACCAGCGCGGTATGGGTGGACGCTAGACACAGATCGCGTGGAAAAGCCCCTCGCTCCCACGGGACCGGAATCTCAGCGTGTGGCGAGAGAATAGAATTTAAAGTAGATGCCGCGAGGATGGCGGTGGTAGAGATTGTCGACGTAGCGGTGGTTGGTGCTGGCGCCGCTGGCCTCACCGCAGCTCGCAGCCTGTCCGCTCACGGGCTCCGTGTCGTGGTGCTCGAGGCTGGGTCCAAGGTGCGTCACTGCGCGCGCTAACATCCGGCGGGAGTTGCCACCTCCGTGACCGCTTGCCTGCCGCCCAAGGTGGGTGGCCGAGTGCTGGCCGACAAATCACTCGCACCGTGGCCCCTCGAGCTCGGGCCCGAATTTCTCCACGGCGAGCATCACAACGCGCTCCTGCGGCTGGTCGCCGACGGCATCGAGGGCAAGCCAGAGGCGTCGCTGGTCGAGCTCGAGTGGCCGAACTACTACTTTTTCGGAAAGGAGGGCGTCCTGATGCTAGCGGAGGAGGCGGACGAGCAGCCGGACGTCGCACTGATGCACGAGAGCTTCGAGAAGCTCGGCGAGATCTCGCCAGCCACTTTCTCGGCTCGTCCCTCACGCACCCACCGCCGGCCGTGCCCGCTTTGGCAGGTGAGATGGCTCCTCCGCCCTGCGGAGCGGAGGCGGAGGAGGAGCCGACGCTGCTGCAGTACTTTGCCAGCTGCGGCCTCTCCTCGCGCGTGCTCGACCTGGCCGATGCCATCTTTGCCAACGACTACGGCGCGGACATGTCGGATGTGCGCCGCCGCTACGCCCTCTAGTCCCACCACCTCGATTGGAGGCAAGAGGAGAGCCTCTTCTGACTCTCACGACCGCCGCCACACTCGCCCGGCCCGCAGGTCGGGCTGCACGAGGTGATGCACGAGCAGCGCCACTGGACGTACGGCGAGAAGTACCTGGTGCTGCGGGGCGCGTGCCTGCAGGCGGAGAGAAGAGGAGAGAAGATAAGAGAAGAGAAGAGAAGTACCTCGTGCTGCGAGGCGGCGAGGTGGTGAGCCGCTCGCGACCGCTGCGGCGCCGAGGGCCGCCTCCCTACAAAGCATGGACGTGTCACCGAGCGGGCGCCTCTAGGACGCGATGGAGTCGCTCGGTCGCGGCCTGGACGTGCGGACAGCGTGGCGCGTGCAGCGCATCGACGCGTCTCCGACCGGCTGGGGCGCGGACGGTGCCGCCCCTGCACCGCCCCCTCCCGCCCCTTCCCCCGCCTCGCTCGGCGGAGCGCTCGCTGGCGGGGAGTAGGCGCCGCCGTCGAGCTCAGCGCCGCCGACGGCCGAGTGGTGCGCGCGCGCGCCTGCGTCGTCACCGTGCCGCTGTCCGTACTGCAGCGGGGGGAGCCGGAGTTTCGGCCGCCGCTGCCGCCGCCGCAGGCAGGAGCGATTCGCAAGCTCAAGATGGGGTCCGCGCTCAAGGTGATCGTGAGGCTGCGGCGCCGCTTCTGGCCGGCCGACTTTTACGACGCCGTCTGCTCCGACTCGTTCCTGCCGGAGGTGTGGCTCTCTCCCGCCGCCGAGCTGATGCGGCCCGACGCGGCGCCGCCCTACACCATCGTCGGCTTTGTGGCGGGCGCGCGGGCGGAGCGGGTGGGGAGGCTGCCGCACGCAGACATCGCTCGCCGGATGCTCGCCCAGCTCGACGGGATGTTTGGCAGCAGCGACGACCCCCACCCCGCGAGCAGCAGCTGCGACGGCTTCCTCGTCAAGGACTGGGCCGCCCACCCCCACGTCCACGGCGCCTACTCGCACCCGACGCGCGGCGCGCATGGCGCGCGGCCCGCGCTGGGGGAGGCGGCGCACGGCTGCGTCTTCCTCGCGGGCGAGGCGTGCCACGCCGGCGTCAACCCGTGCATCCACGGCGCGATGGAGACGGGAGAGCAGGCGGCGGCGCGGTGCTGGTCTTCCCTACAGCCGCAGTCGCGGAGCCGGCTGTGAGCACGGCCGCGCGATGCGCGCCGCGCCCGCTTACGCGCGAAAGCCGAAACCACACGCTGCAAGCGCAGAGAGAGAACTCAACTTTTTTGTCACATTGCGTGACACCGCGGTCAAAATGTCACGTGCATGTCGCCTTTCCCTAATAAGCACTCTTTCGCCACATCGGCCCCGCCCCGGGATAATGTTTCCGCGGCGCTGCATAGTGCATTTGTGCGCCTAGAGCATGTGCGCCCACGCCTCTCCTCTCGCCTGTGTGTGTGTGTACGGCTCTCATTCCGTCTCCACCGCCGCCCCAGCAGAAGAATGAGGTGACTACACTTCATCCTTCTGCTTGGCCTCCCGCTTCTTCCTCCTCCTCCTCCGCTTAGCCCGCTTGGCCGCCTTCTCCGCCGCCTCCTTGGCCGCCTTCGCCTCTGCGTCCGCCTTTGCCTTTGCAGCCTTGCGCACCTCGTCCTTCGCCTTCCACTCGGGCGTCTCCGCCGGGCCCGGCGTCCGCCTACGCGGGCAGGGCGCGCTGTCAGCGAGAGGACAGGCCGCTGGGCACGCCCGACCAACCGCCCGAGCGCTTGCTGTTCCAGTCGGTGGCGACACACTCCGGCTGCTCGAGCGCAAACTCGACAATCTGAGCAGAGGCGGCGGCGAGGCGGTCGGCTGCGCAAGTGCGAGCACAGGCGGGCGCGGCGGCGCCACCTCGTCGGCGAACAGGCCATGGTTGGTCGAGAAGAGGATCGTCGCGTTGTCGACGACGTACGCCTGCGCATCCATCCCCTTTGAGCCCAGCAGCGCATTCCACCTGCGCAAACAGAGGCGACCGCTCTCTCGCCTCCGCGCCAGACCGCGCGCGCACGCCGCGGCGCACCGTTTTGCAATCTCCTCAGTGCCGGTCTTATCCTCGCAGCAGCCGGGGTAGTCGACCGTCGCAAAGATCATCGTCGGCCCTGTCGTCTTTTGCGAGTCCTCGACCATTCGCTGCCGCTTCTTCGGGTCCTTCTCGCGCTGCAGCTTCTCCACGTCCAGACCGCGCGCCTTTGGCGGCTTGAACTCGTACTCCTCCTTCTCCTGCGGCGCTAGCAGCGAAGGGTGAGCGCGAATACTCGAAACGGGCAGCAGGGCCGTCGCTCGCGCTCTCCTCGGGCGTCTCCCACTCCTCCTCGACGCGGCGCCAGTCCTCCTCGGTCATCTGAGCAGTCTTCTTGGCGATGTCGCGCTGCGTCCGCGCTCCGGCCGAGGCCAAGGAGCAGACGAGCAGAGCGGACGCGAGCCACGCACGCGCTGTCGCGGCAGGCGCCATCCAGGGGGTTACGATTTTCTTTTTTGCACAACACTGGGTCGTACGTAAATTCTTCTTTGCGCATCGGGGGCAGCCACGGTAGGTCGGTAGCGACTGACGCGTCCTCTTCTGGTGGCGCGGAGGGCGCTGCGGGCAGCGTTCCCGACGAGATCGTGGCTGCCTGGCTGCGGCTTGGCAAAGCGACGGCGCAGCGGTGCTGGCGTGGCTCGACGGCGGCGGGAGGGTGGATGCGACCTTCACTCGTGACGGGGTGAGCGGTAACACGCTGCTGATGGTCGCCGCCCGCATCCTATGGAGCGTCCTCACGTTTGATGCACTGCGGCAGACGATCTCTGCTCGCCCGCGGGCCGTCCTTATTGAGATCGCTTCCAGTCTCAATTCTCTTCCTTTTCGACTTCGGCCCCTCACCGCACTTCACCGCCCTCTGCGCCTCTCTTGTCGTCTTGTCGCCCTAGCGGCTCGGGCCCAGGCGTGAACTCTCGCGATTTGGAAACCCTTTTGAGTCCCTTAAGAAAGAATGTTTGTCCCTGAAGAAAGAAAGAAACAAAACAGACAAACAACATACCTAACGTGCAAGCCCCGCAGAGGTGCGGGCGAGAGGGCGGCCCGAGCCCGAAAGGGCCCGCCCTCGGCCTTGGCCCTTGCTCTACATGGTAACGGATAAGAAGAGAAACACCCCCGGACCGGGACGCCGGCGGTCGAGTCGGGACACGCTGTGGTTCAGACGTCCCCCCCCTCGACGCAGTCGAGTGACTGACATGAATAGGGAGGAGAAAGTGTCCCCCACATATCACCACAGACGCAGCACAGGGGCTCCAATCCTGTCCGCCGGGGCCTCGGCTAGATCTCCAGTGGGGAGTGCGAGGGCTGGATCGACTGCAGCGAGAGTGTGGGTTGTGGACCGTCGGGATAGCGTGTGGCGTAGATGTTCTCCTGGAAGTAGAGAGGCTGATGTCTCTCGCCCTGCAGGAAGGAGAAACTCGGACGGGAGAGTGAAAACTCCTCCCTGCGGCATGTGCGCAGAACGGGTTGCGCAATGTGCGGCATCGTGTTGAGGGCTCGGGAGGGCAACGACGGCAGCGTTGCCGAGCTTGTACAGGGGCCTCAATCCTGTCCCCGATGGGGTGCGCCTCTCGCCGCGCGCGTAGCAGTCGGCGCGCGGGTAGCCTCAGAGATGCGCAGAGCGAGATGCGGTTATCAGCAAACCAAGCCCTGGGCTTGGATGGGCGCGGCGAAGCCGCGGCGCAGTGGATAGCGTGAAGAACTCGAGATCGCTGGGATCTTGAGCCGCCGCTACCACGTGCAAGCCCCGCAGAGGTGCGGGCGAGAGGGCGGCCCGAGCCCGAAAGGGCCCGCCCTCGGCCTTGGCCCTTGCTCTACATGGTAACGGATAAGAAGAGAAACACCCCCGGACCGGGACGCCGGCGGTCGAGTCGGGACACGCTGTGGTTCAGACGCCTAAAACCAATCCCTTGATGTGCGGCCGCGGAATTCTCTTCCTCGCCGCGGCCACCGCCGGCGGTTCGATGGCGCCCACGTCGCGGCGGGCCGTGGCCCAAACCGCGACGGACCAGTCGGCGGGCGTGTCTCGCCAGGCCGACGAGCGGAGGCCCGAGAAGGCATCCGACGCCATGAACGCCTTCACCGTCGCCTGTGCGGGCACCTTCAGCGCCGTCTACTTCCTGCCGTCGGTGCCGCTGTTCTGGCCATATGTTCTGATGGCGGTTCAGATGGTGGCCGAACTGCTGCTGCAGCCCGACATGGCCTCGGTGATGCGCGTCCACCACCTCGCCAACCTCGGCGTGACGCTCCTCTATCTCGCTTGGCCAACCTTCGACCCGATCATCCGCGAGGGACTGGCGGTCGAGGTGCGCGCCTCGCGAACCGCCTGCCGTGCGCTGTCGTCGCGTCGATCCCGAGCATGCGACGCCGATGCCGCGCCGCCG